ACTCACCAAGATGAGCAGCCCCACCACTTGCAGGCCTAAGAAAGGGGCTGGCAATTTCTGTCTGACTCAAAAGTTCAAACTCTTGTGTTCTGCCTGAGTTAGTGCAACTCTGATCTGAGGCAGCTGCAGTTCTGTTTCCCCAAAGAATTACTCAGATGAATATTTTATTGATTCTTCAGCCCAAGTCTATTAAATTCTCCAGTTCTTTAGCCTTAAAAAATAAAATACAGTAGTTTTCAATAAAAATATGATTACAAACTCTAACTCTACAAGACCAACTATTTAGTGGGAACAATGTTCCAAATCACTTAATTACTGACAGACAGTAATTCTAAAACTAGATAAAGATACCAAACATCCACTCAAACATCTCATCACAATCTCCCAGACCAGTACATCGAAGTCAACTGTTGAAAAACAGTCCTGAGAAGTTCACCTAGTTAAATATTCAGGTGCTCTTTCTGCCTTTTAGGGACAGTATGTTCTGCTGACTCCCTTTACAGAAAACAGCTTTTTCAGCAGTTATAACATCTCATAATCCATGTCGTTTCATTTTGTCAAAATTACTTTTTTGTCCAACATGACTGTCACTAATAATAGTTTTTAGTTAACCAGAATTATTTCAACAGCAAAGTGCTCCCCTGAAATGATTCATCGTGGGTATAGGAATAGGTTTTATAGCAAGTGTATTATTATCAGAATATAGGAAGATTTTTTTCCTTGCCACTTTTTCAAGATACTTACATTTCTACCTAAATTCTAGCTTTTAAGTCCTGCAGACTACCAGAAAACTATTTGTGCTTAAAAGCATGGATAAGCTTTGCTGAATCACGATATAAGAGATGGGATAATTACAAACTCTGCAGATGGTACCCACATATCTTCTTTGGGCAGGGAGAGACCAGTACATGGGTTCCATGTAAAGCCAAGAAGTGGTGTTTGCTTTTGGGATGATTTCTGCAGGACCTACAAGACTTTGCAATTCCACAGTAAGCCATAACTGCCTCAGATAACCCCCCAAAATCATAGTGTTTGGTATTCCCCCTAAGTTTTACAGATAAAATAATTTGTATGGGGAGAAAAAGCCCCCCCAGCAATGATTCTAAACTGCTGAGACTTGAGCCTTAAGTTGTTTTTATTATAAGTAATACTGAAAGACTGTGCACAGAAAGCACTGGGAGACCAAGTGTTAACTACTGTGTGTCTTTGAACTATAAAGGCACACCTAACAGAGCTAAGGAAAAGGACCCTTTCCTCCCTGAAGTTATAACACAAGGTGATACAATTAAATAAAGACTGCTTACTAAAGTTAGTTAAAAAAGATTTAGGAGCAAGAAGTTTTAAAAAAGGCTGCGCCACTTTCTGGAGGGTGCCCAAGTAACTAATTTGATCTGAATCTAAATGCAGGGAGTAGGTAAATGCAACTGTTCTTACAAAACAGCATAAGGAAAAAGACTTTCTTAAACTTCTGACCAGATCTGCTCTGGGATACTGGTCAATCCATGACCTAACGCACAGCTAGTTCTAATACTGTTAGCTTTCTTGTTCTGTTTCAGCCACATTACTCTGGACAATAGAGGAGATCTAGCTAGCGAATCCTACAGGAAAACCACAAAGGCAATTAACTGGAGTTCATTTCAAGATGTGAGCTAAACTGCTCCACTAGCCAGGCAGCAGCAGATGATGGGCAGAGAAACAGAGTCAATGACTTTGTTCAAGAAGTCTGTGAAATTCTGCAGGTAGCCCAGAAGGGCTCATCCCACATCACAACGACCTGAGAGCCAGATGTGCTACGGTGCTGCAGCAAACACAAACCAGGCACAAACCAGGTGGAAATGGCACACTCTGATCTGGGAATCACAGCATCATTTGGGTCGGAAAAGATCTTTAACATCATCGAGTCCAATCATTAACCCAGCACTGTCAGGTCCACCACGTCCACACGTCTTTTAAATGCCTCCAGGGATTGCCCCCAAATTCCCCAGAGACCCTGCTCTGACCCAGGACTACAAATTTCTCACTTTTCCCTTACCAAACAGACAGGATACACAACACTGAGAAATCATGCTCCTTGCACTTCAAGAGCTTTTAAACTTATTTCCAGTGAAATACTTTCGGGAGATATTTGGACAAGCAGGATGTGCCACAAAATCTCACAGCACGCTCTCGTTTAAAATAAGAAGTCGTTTTGTCTGAGCAGAGCAGTGATGACAGATGATCCCTCTCTGACAAACCTGTCTGGAAGTTCTTCAGCACAGACATCTGTGATGAATTCCGCTTGCGTTTTAACTCCACAGTTCACCTTTATTTTAAATCAACAAGGCACCCACGTATCGAACTTCACTAGTACATTGCCGTGAGTCTTTTAATCTCCAGGTGACTAACTGCCCCATCATTCATACTGCCTTAGCACCTCACACACTTCACGGAGGCAGCGTATCCAAACATGCTGCTGTTAGCATCAACAGCAAAAGGAAAAACAGCCCTTCAGAGGATTTATACACCCTCGATCGAAGTTCATCTGGTGTCCATGCTAACACTGCAGGTAAGAGCACAGACTGGATTTTCCCTGCCCACATGGTCTCCATCAGCTGGAACACTGACCTGTGAGTGGGTGGCAGGACAGCTGCCAGCAGGGACTGAAAACACACAGTGACAACTCTATGTCACTCACTGCTATTGTTCTTTAAACATCACCATCAGTTTAAACAGCACAAAATTTTTACAGTGTGGTTTCCAACAAGAATGTGAAAGAGGTTGGTAAACACTGCTTCAATCATCACCACCCACCTCAGCAGCTGGCAGAGGATTTACCAAATAGGGAAGCAGCAACAGTCTGAGAAGGAATGAAGTGACTTCTCCTCAGAGCTGCAGGCAGCTCAGAAGGTAGCTCCTTTCATTCCAGGAGTGGCATTTTAACAGGGCAAGACTATCCTCTGTACAGCCACCCACAAAAGTTCAACAAGGCCAAGTGCAAGGTCCTGCACCTGGGTTGAGATAATTCCCAATCCAGGCTGGGGCATGAAGGCGTTGAGAGCAGCCCTGCAGAGAAGGACTTGGGGTACTGGATGAAAAGCTGGACATGGGACAGCAATGTGCACTCACAGCCCAGGAAGCCAGCTGCATCCTGGGCTGCACCAAAAGAAGCGTGGCCAGCAGGTCAAGGGAGGTGATTCTGCCCCTCTGCTCTGGTCTGGTGAGGCCCCACCTGCAGTGCTGTGTTCAGCTCTAGAGTCCTCAGCACAAGAAAGACATGGACCTGTTGAACGAGTTTGAAAGGAAGGCCTTGAAGATGACAGACAACCAGAACACTTCTTCTATAAAGAAAGGCTGAGAGAGCTGGGGTTGTTCAACCTGGAGAAGTAAAGGCTCTGTGGAGACAATGCATGAAGCTCACCCAAAGCTCATGCTGAGCAAGATTTCAGTGGACAGCAGTGAGCTTAAGAAAAGCTTGGGATAATACAGTCTAACTTCACAGTAATAACCCATAATCACAGGCAGCATCAAAGAAGCACACAGGACCACCCTGCCGCTTCGGCTCAGCGGTGACGCAGCATGACAGCATGACAGGCTCTGAAAGCAGCTGAGCTGAAATTAATAATAGATTCTCCTCTGCGGTCTGATCTTCCCTCGTGGACTCCAAGACTCAATACATAAGGAAAAGAGGCCATAAGATGCCACAGCAGCACACAAACAATGCCTAAACCTGATCTGAATGCCACTCTGTTGTGGGTACCACTTGCTAAATCCCACAGAAGCAAGTGGAGAGATGGATCAGAAGCTGCACATCTATCCCTCTGTCCAGGGGTCTGGACACTATCCAGGAGAACAAATCGAGAGCTGTCACGAATAAAACAAGCGCTGTGTTTGTAGATCCTTATTGAAGAGATGAATGAATGCACAAATGAAGCACTGAGAACTGCGAAGGCAGTAAGATTATTCCTGCCACTGCATGTTCTCAAATCAAGTTGAAGTTTCCAGATTAAATGAGCTGTGCTCATACCTATAGCAGTTTATTCCACTTCTATTTGCTGTCTTGCTTTTCTTCTACTCACACATGATTATAGTCTCTTTACAAGAGACTGGAGAGAAAAGTAACTGCAGTGTAAGCTACTTACTTCATACACTGTGAAAGAGCAGGACGTTGAGAGGAAGCTGAGTTTTTGGGCACTGTGAGAACCCTGAATCAACTCTCCCAGAACTGGTATAAATAGCAGGAGCTAAAATGTTCTGAGAGAAGGATTCCAGTCAGAATGCTTTGACTGTACAGGTACTGTTTAGGTACCACTTCTACGTCCAATACTGAAATTCAAGTCACAGACCTTCTGGGCTCTGTCCACAAGCAAACTCTGACTCCACATTCAGCCTTACTGCATCTCCATGTACTTCTAGGTTATTTCACAAGATCATTACTAATGATCTTGCTTGTTTATACAAGCAAGGGATGAAAATTTTGGCTTTGGACTACTTTTTTGTAAAGTACCACATGTATTTACGGTGCCAAATAAATAATACATCCTCTGGGGACTGCAACAGCACAGTCATTCAGGCTTTCAGTGAAACATCCAAGAGTAAGATCAAGGCATCAGCAATCAGGCATCAAGCATATAAAAAATAGCTTTTATCTAGCCCTGAACTGCAATGTCTAAGTATAATTCCTCATAGACCTCACCAGCATCTCTCTGAGATGGTTTGCACAGGTCTCAGTCTTTTGTGCCAGGAGCAAGAGGAACCAGGTTTCTGAGGTGCTGTTCTGCTCAGGAAGCACCCACACAGTACCATACCTGTATGAACATGGCTCTCTGTGGCGCGGGAGTGCAAGGGCTGGAACTGCTGCCAGATCCCACCCTGGCGTGTGGTGTGGCTTCATGCCCCAGCGCTGCTGGCCACTGGAGGGAAGGTTGGGCACTGTCACTTTTCTTTCTTCGGTCCTCGGCCTGGGAAGGAGAAAAGCAGCAGCATGTTGAACATTGAGTCTCACGTTTGGAGCCTGGACATTCTCCAACAGTGTCAGTGATTCTGATGAACCACTGGGGAGACGTCAACCCTGGCACAATATGAATCATTACTGCCTCTCCATTTGCAACCCTTCTTTCTCCACCAAGTTTCCAAACCACAGTGAGGAAAAGGGTCTGAGTTGCCATCTGCTATATTCTAGGCCATCCCATGGGCTGCAGGGCTGGGATTTTAGCTGGGAGGAATCATCTGTCTGTGTTCACTTATCTTGGATAACCTGCAGCATTTATTACCCCTGCCTACAACTGTCCTGGTTTTGGCTGGGGTAGAGTTAATTTTCTTCGTATTAGCCAGTATGGGGCCATGTTTTGGGTTGGTGCTGGAAGCAGCGCTGATAACACAGGGACGGCTCACACGGAGCTGGGGCCTCTCCTGCTCCTCAGCCCACCCCACCAGCGAGGGGGCTGGGGGTGCACAAGGCATGGGGAGGGGACACAGCCGGGACAGCTGCCCCCAGCTGACCCAAGGGATGTCCCAGCCCCTGGGCCGTCACGCTCAGCACACAGAGCTGGGCACGGTCAGAGGGACGGCGTTGGTCTTCCCAAGTCAGCGCGGCCCGTGCTGGAGCCCTGCTGCCCTGGGGACGGCTGAACACCCGCCTGCCCGTGGGAAGCGGGAACGAATCCCTTGGTTTGCTTTGCTTGTGCATGTGGTTTTTGCTTTACCTATTAAACTGTCTTTATCTCAACCCATGAGTTTTCTCGCTTTACCCTCCTGATTCTCTCCCCATCCCACTCGGGAGGACTGAACACGAGGCCACGTGGGGCTGAGCTGCCGGTTGGGATTAAACCACAATAACAGCATTGACATTACTGTGTGTTGCTTTCTACCTTAAAACACTTTTAACACTCTATCATTTGCTACGTTACTTGCACTATGGGAAAGACTAAGGAACAAAATCTAGTAGAAATAAAGGTCCTCCTTCCTGAGGGCGTTGCTCATTATAAAAATCTTCATCCTGTGGTTTTGACCCCATTACTCTTTTCAGTTTCATTCAGTATGACTAATTCGCATTCTCTAGTGTAAATCTTTAGCATATCCTACGATTCAGCAGCCTAGAAACAGCTCTATATAGTAAACTAGACATTAATGCCATAAAAACACTGTTATCTGTGTCTAGGTGGGCACTCTTAATGGCATCTCTCATTATATCTGGATGTTTGTGCCTGTGTCAGGAAGGTAAGCACATTATTAGCACAGCCTAGGAAACTGCTGAGGAGATGAAAAATGATTCCACTTAGTCTCATGGATCTTAACTGGGGAAAAAAAAAAGAACAAAAAAAAAATCCCCACAAAACCCTCAACCTTATTAAAACAAGCAACAACAGCCAAATACTATGAAATTCTAGCCCCAGTGAACTCGATTGTTCCACTACTCTTGAGGCCAGATTTTCATTACTTGCAAATCCTAATAATGAAAGGCAAATTTTACCATAAGCAAGAAAGAAAATGTAAAAGCTAGCTATGACAATTGACCTACCACCTCTGTGCCCAAAGGGTGCTTACATGCAATATATTACCATCCAGGGACAAACCTGGGCAGCTGATGCTTTGGCCTCCCAGACCCGATACCAGCCCCTGCCCAGGCGCTGAACTAGCGCAGCCTCCAGCCCAGGCTGGCAGCGCCTCGTCTCTCGGCTCATCGGCACCGGGGCTGGCGGGACCAGATCCAGCCCAGAGCGAGCTCACATCTGCACAAACCCCCCCAACCCGACTGCGACAGGCTGAGGGCAACGGTAAAGACAAGAAACTTCCAACAAAAGGTTCTGTGGCCCCAAACATTAAGCTTGAGGCTTTGGAATTTTTGTTTGTTTGTTTTTAGTGCCTCAATGCAACACTAATTCTGGAGAGTCTCAATAGTTCATCCTGCAAATGACACTAAACCCTAAAAAGTAGGCAAACAAACTAGGTTTTGGATGGGCTCTCTCTATCCCTGTGTAGATCTCTCCCAAAGGAGAAAGCAGCATCTCTCTGGCTAATAAACTGGGAGAGATCAACACCAACAAGAACAAATTCACTGAGTTATCATTGTTAAAAACAGTCACAACGTTAAAGCGTTTTTAAGTTGCTGTGAACAATTATGACTGCTGACACAATTAGGAAGTCTCAGACTTCAACCCAAAAATGCAACCCTGTACCACTAATTATGATTTTAGTGGAAGGATTTGTGACTTCCAAGAAGTTCTCAGATTAAATAAGTAATATTATAAAATAATTAGTCTTTAAAATCAGAGTGTATTATGGTAGCCTTATAAAGAGCCTCATGCTGTGAACCTAAAGGGCAGGCAACACTTTATCTACCATGAGTGGTATTTTATTTCACTTTTAAATTAAAAGTTAACAGAGACTGCACATTAAATCCCATAATACATTGCATTCTGCTACAAAGAGGTCATTTACAAAACACATGCCAAAACCAGAAATGAGTATTTAAGCTGACATTTTGCAGTTCTTTTGACTTCTAACTACAATGAAGTAGAAAAGAAAGTTAAATTAACTCAACTGAGTTGCATTTTCTCCCCACCCACCAAAAGCCTAGCAAAGTCAAAGCATTTCTATTGACTTTGATGCTGTGTTTTTAGCAAAGGCAGCTTACTTCTCTGTCCACACCCAATTTACTTCCCAGCTGGAATAAGATCCAGTCCTCCACCATCAAACAAATACTGATTTCAAGAGGAGTTCATTCAAATTTCAGTAACGATGTTTTTAATCAGTCACTGCAACAATAAGCCTCTGGAGCTAGGGCATTTGGCTTTTTGACAGTGAAGTTGTACTTCAAGCAAAATTCTTCTCTTGTTTTCACAAATTGCTACTCTATCAAAGAGCTTAATATCTTTTGTTTTCCTGATTTCATATTGCTTCATAGCTGTTTGCAGACTCTATTCAGTTATTAAAATTCAGTATCTCAGCGGTCCTTGCAGTTTCATTCGACTGTTTATCAACACAGAAATTTCAGCTACAGGAACCAGTTGCAGCACTCGCGCACGTGCACACACACGGAGCGATGACAAAGAGGGCACTTGCTTAAAGAGGGCAGCAAGATGTTAAGAAGCAGGGATCTGCATTCCTCCTACGTACACGTGTGTGAGCTCTCCTTCATGCCTTTGCTTGGGTTTGTTGGGAAGATGCTTTGCCATGAGTGCAGAGACCAACACATCTACTGTTCTGCTTAGACACAGCCATGTGTGAGCTGCTGAGACTTTCTGACGTCGACCCAGACTTCAGTAACACAACAAATCACCCTTGTGAGAACTGGGCTCACAAGTTGGGATTATAGCAGAAAGAAAAGTTAAGTGTGGTAGGAATGATGAGGTAACGTATGTGTAATGGACCAGCTTTTCACAGTACACCAGCAGTAAGTGGAACAAGTTAGTGGGCAGAAACATTTTCAGAATTAGCAAAAGAGTGAAATGGATTACTGTTCTTAATGAAGGACTGTATGTGGCTACCCCTGATGCATCAAATCTTACCTGCCTAAAATCCTGGGAGAGAAAGAACAAGAAAAGGCATCACAGCCTGACATTGGGTCAGAGAGATTCGTGCCTGGGAGGTGTGATGCCATTCTGTGGTTGGGTGAATTTTGTGAACCCTAAAATCTGGCAAAGCCATCTGTCAAAACTCAGATTATACTACCTTAATTCATTTTGCTTTTGAAGACAAGGAAATGACACCTAGTTGGCCAGAAGGATCTTTTTTTCTCATTCACCACCCAAAATCTTTCTCTGAACTCGAGCAGAAGTGACAGAGTAACCTTTCCTTTCCCTTATCCTCTGCATTAATGGAAAACAAAGGCTTTACTGTAGCATAAGTGTGTAGTAATACACAAGTCAGGTTCCAGATACAGGTTTAAATACCAGTCTGTTCTCTGCTTCAGCATTACCACAGCATCATAAACCGCAAAAACACCAAAATGCTACATTGGCTGAGATGGTACCTCTTTGCTTGTGCTGCTTGATGGAGGATGTACTGCTGAATTTGAACTCTTGGAAGGCTCCTTCTTCTTCTGCTTGTGGTCATGCTGGAGAGACAGCAGCTGTGTCTGATCTTTGGGGAGAGTTCGATGCACCTTCCTGTTGGGCTGCACATCTTCCACTTTCTGAAAGCAAACAGTGATGAACCTCAGAGAGAACAATGCCTTGGAGAAATACTGGCTTTTCAAAGAACAATGTGAGCAAAATACCAGCAGGGCTGACAGAAGAGCCACAACCCCGAGCAATAGGAAGCATAAAGTGACCTCAAACACTCTGTTTGGCTTTTGAGGGAGCACATCAAACCCCATATTTTTTCTTTTTAATTTTCCTAAAACCTCAGGGCTTTAATCAAACACTCCTTGCTTATGTTTGATTACCAATCAGTTTGCTGCTGAAACATTAGAAGAAGATTGTGGCCAAGGTGCCAGACTTGACAATGAGACTTTTGCATTACAATTAACCTCTGCTCCCTTTTTGTTTACGAAAAAGCGATGGTCCTGGTTCCAACCCAAACAGGAACTGGAGACTGAAGAGTTAAGCTTAGGTTGAGGTGATGCTGGAAGCTTTAAGGGTAGATACATTTTACATCAGACTGAAGTGACCAAAGACCATTTCAGCAGGGAGAAAGGCCAGGGACAGGCAGTGTCATTGCTGTAGATAAGGAGGATGACTTAGTAACAAGTAAGTTAACTTGAAAGAAGGCTGAATCTGAGAAGATGAGGCAGTAAACACATTAAAAAATCCCCCTCTGGTCTATGACTTGGAGGATGGGAACACCTTCAGGGAACTGAGAAAGGTCTCAGCTACAGAACAGGGAGCTGCCAGCAAAGACTCTTTTCATACCTGCTTCTTCTCTGATATCCTCTGTCCATCTACTATGAACCGTTCATCTTCCACAGCCCTTTTGTCTTCTTTGCACCTCTCCTCTTTCCTCTGAAGGGCCTTAGCCTCCAGCCACCTTTGCTCACACTCCTGCTGCCTCTGTAGCTCCTGCTCTCGCCGCTGATGCTGGAAGGGAGCCAGGAAATAACACCGCTTATTTTACTTTACTTTTGTACCCACCGATTACTTATGCAAGTGTGGATTAATCACAAAGCCCATTTCCTGCCACACAGTCGCTAACAGAGGATGCCCGAATCCCTGCGCGGCAGGAGGAGACAGCCACAAGCTGCCACCGCAACAACTGCCGAACCTGAAGTGAAACCTTTGCCTTTTTGGCAGCCAAGGGATGCCTGCTCTGGAGAGGCTTGCACAATGCCTGAGCTTCATCAGAAACTCATGAAAAAGACACGGTGATTTAGCAATGCCTCCAACACCACAGCGTGTCAGAAAGCTGAAAAGACAGCAGCTACCTTGTAACGTCGTAAACAGGAGCAGAGCCAGGACTCTGAATTGGACAAGACATACTCCAGCGTTATGAATGTCCCTGCCCTGGGAGTGCTCAAGGCCAGGGTGAAGGGGGCTTTGAGCAGCCTGGTCTAGCAGGAGGTGTCCCTGCCCATGGCAAAGGGGCTGGAACTTGATGATCTTTAAGGTGCCTTCCAACCCAAACCATTCATGAACTGGGCAATGGACATGAGAAAGAAATCAGGATTTGTCATTGCGTCTGCCTGGGCTTCCACCACAACATAGATTCAAGCAAAGGTTGCAGCAGGAAAAGGACAGAGCCCATTTAAAACTATTAAAAAGCATTGTGCTCAAAAGTGACACAGTTCTCCCAAGGCTAAAGACTACAATCCCGGTTGTGCTGACAATTTAACACAGCCTTCTTGCCTTTCGAAGCCTACTCTCTGCAAGCATATTTTTCATTTGTGATGAGACATGGAACAAAAATACAAGCCAGCCCCTACATCTTCCAGCCTCCTCCTCTGCTCTTTCTGCTGCTCGATCCGTTTCTGCCTCTCTGTCAGCAGCTGCTTCTTGTACTTCTCCTGGTCCTTCAGCTGCTGCTGCTGGCGAAGGGGGTCAGAACGGTTTTTGTTCTCCTGCTGCAGCCTCAGAAATTCACGGCGGAGAGTTGACTCCCCTGGGAGATTAACTATGGAGCTGAAACGAAGTGGAGATTTCTACATGACTAAACATAACATTAAAGAGAGAATACAAGGTGCATTGGGAATTGCTTGCTGTCCTGTGTTAGCAAATTAGGATGTTTCAATAAATCTCCAGCATGTTGACTATGCATCTGCACTTATTGTGCTACAAAATGGCCTGAAGTTGATTACTGGGTCCTTCATTTGAGAGTTTGCTCCCTGTTGCAGGGGAACTAAAAAGCAGCTTATTACAGACATCTTACACTCAGCAGTTATCCTTCATAGCTACAAAACAGTTAAAGCTACCACAGGGTGATGCAGGAGATTCAGAGCAAGTTAAGCAAGCCATTCTGGCTGAGAAGGGCTGCCTTCAAAGAGAACAGCTTGGGCAGTCAAATTCTCTATTCCAGTAAATAAAATTAACCTTGGTTCTCCTTCATCTTCATTCAGCTCATCATCTTCCTCCTCACTTCCACTGTAATCGTAGTCTGTTTCTTCTAAAAAAAGAGAACAATAAACAAACCCCAGTGGAGGATGCTGTTATTTAAGATATGGTCTTAAATATGATCTTAAATATGATATGAGCTTTGTTTCTGAGCATTCAACCTGAACTGCGTCTAG